AAGCGTTTCAGATTTATCGTTGTCGTGCTTCTTTTTTGCAACACAAGTACCTTTTTTATTTCCTGATCCTGGCTGTTTATGTTGATATAAATGTCCACCTTGAGATTCGTAACAGCTATTACATATGTACTGCCATCGTTGCTGTTGTGCCGTAATTTTTTGTACAAGGGTTGAAATGCTCTCAATGGCTGGACATTCGTGTTGACCGATGCATGGAATAAGTGTCATTTTCTCCAATATGGACCAGCAATGTGCTGTACTAATAAGGGGACAGATATAAGAGAGTGTAAACTATAGTTGATAGTGTACATAGTAATAGGGTAGAGTAGATGTAGTAAATACATAGAAGAGAGTATATATCCTAACTTACATAATTCTGACCATTTCTTCGGATGCTGAAGAGAGCCCTGTATTATGTATCCACAAGGATGACTTTCTCCAACTACCCCAGGAGGCTGTGGGTAATTTGTTGCAGTAACGTGACTCTGTATTACATCTCTGTCCTATTAAAATCGCTGCATCTCTGTGTACATTTCGATTTCCTGAAACGAAAATCTTGTGTTGGCCTTGGCGAATCTGGCACAACCCCCGTTCCTCTTAGCAGATTGAAATCAGGATTGAATTTCTCACTAATACTAACGCCACCAATATCATCGAAAACTCAATTTAAACATGGTATGTTCATTGTGACCTCGAGGATATGTCAACCGCTGCCTATAACGTTACGAATTTTCGAACGCCACTAAAATTTCTCCACATTTTTAACAAATCTTGCAGATACCGTATATCAAAAATAGATATTTTCAACAATGACATGTAACATTGATGATGATTGTATAGTAAAAAAGTAGAAATAAATCGTTTTTGTTAAAGACTTTTGGCTAATGCTAGCAGACAGTAGCTCGTAAAGAAAATCGAAATAGATGAGTATTTACGAAACCATACCAAATTCAATCCTGATTTTAATCTGCTAAGAGGAACGGAGGGTTGGGCCATTTGCCAAGGCAACCCATTTATTGTCCTCCAAGCGATTCCCGATTTAGTCGGTCAGCCAACACAAGATTTTCGTTTCAGGAAATCGAAATGCAGCGATTTAACAGGACAGAGATGTAATACAGAGTCACGTTACTGCAACAATTACCCACGGGTAGTTACAAAAGATAATTTTTTCCAAGAGGAGGAAGAGCTGACAAATGAAAATTTGATTACTATTACTGCTCAGGTGTGCATCTGTCCATTCATGTGAATGTGTAGTCCACTTTGCTATGTCTAATATTAATATTTATATTCTAATCTATTCTTGATTACCTGCTCTATTACTATTACTATTCATTTGTCTCTGTACATATACATAGGAATCTTTTGCAGTTATTGGTAATCAGCTGCCCTTCACAGACCAGGAGGATGAACTTGAAGAGCTCCATAGATGTATTGATAAGAACATTGAGAGAATGTGCAGTGTGAATCTAACATGAGTAATTATGCATGCATCAACTGTTGAGATTATCATGCAGCAACAGCCAGAACTGTTAAACTCATACTAATATACTAATACACAGCTCTCATTAATATGATGCAGCAAAGAGAGCTCGATCTCATTTCAATATTAATGGACATTTACCCAGAATTTGCTTGTTGTTTTCCAATGTATTATGTTTAAGAATATTGGTATCAAGAGTCTTGAGATCAGTAACACACTCAGTGAGGAAATCAGCATATGATCAATTGCCATTGATATTGACTGCTTCTTGATGCCAAAACATTCTGACCACCTGAGACATTCACCAATGTACACAGTGAAAGTCGATATAACGGTTCGTTGATATATCGGATTTTGCTTAGTACGGACTTTTTTCTTGGAACCAGAGTTTTACTAATTACATATAGCGGAGTTTACTATTAAATCGCTGTATTCCGGTTCCGGATTTTTTTCGATGAACGGAGCTTAACAAGACACTGTTCAATATAACGGAATTATAACGGAGTCCGCTATACTTCATAGTAGATCCGCATTAACGGTGGCTGACTCCGTTATAATTTGTAGTAGATCCGTGACCGAAATCCGTTATAATCCATAGTAGCACAAATTTACCCGTCAGTGTAATAAAGATCAATTGTCAAATATTTTACTTCTTGCGTATTAATAACCTTTACAACATTATGGTTGGGAAAAGGACAAGGGTTTCATTGACCACTTTACAAAAGAAAGAGATTTGCAAACGTGACTCTAACGAAAGCATTAAACAGAAAGATCTAGCGAAAGAATATGGTATTTCACCCCAGCAAGTTTCAGACATTCTTAAGAACAAAGATCAATGGTTATCTATTGAAAGCAAACACCGGTAGCCAATTTTAAAAGGATACGTAGACTAAAATATGAAAATATAGAAGAAGCTAGATCACTTTCTCGTTTTTGATTATTGATAAATACACTTTTACATTAACAAGCTTAATAAATATTAACTAATAAATAAAAACCGCTTTATTGAACATTTTTTGAGTTTGCTACATCGGTTTCCAAATAAAACGGATTGTTACGATATAACGGATTTTATGTCTGCACCGAGGAATCCGTTATATCGACTTTCACTGTGTATAATTTTAGGTACTTAACTTAAACTTTAGGAATATTTTGATAACGGAAAATTGGCTTTATGAAGGTATATAAGTTTTATTCCATTGTCTTGCTGTCATGTTGTTTGTTCGGGTTAAGCGTTGTTATACTTATATCCCACGGAACAAGTAAACAAATTTTAAAATTGCCTTTAATTATTTCTTCTATCGCTGATCGTCAAATTTATCGTAATTATTAAAACAACGGACGATACTTATTGCCTACAGTATTTCGAAACTGTTGTGATGATAAGATTGAGTAGCGGTGAAGAACTAGTAAAAATTTGTCCGTTCAGTTAGTAAAGCAAGTACTTGAAACGTACAGTAATTGGATAATATTTGACGAACGACACTTATTTTTTTATAATTAATTTAATTAGTTTTAAATTAAAAATGATGCAATTTGAATAGTCAAAACACCAATCGAAGCTCGCCCTGTTTATTAAAGGGCATCTCTCCTTCGAATAGTATACGCTGTCAGTATTATTCGTAGATTTCCTTACTTGGATACGAACGTTGGGTTACGTATGGGAATTAGGAAACACGCATAATTAAGAATTTGCTGACCTAAATTGCCCAATGAACGCTGTTGAAATTAATAATCAAGATTAATAAGAAACGCCACTTATTATTATAGCTTAGCATTCATATTCAGTCTTGGTTGTTGTAGTACGTGGGTGGTCGAAAAGTCTTGCGTATTTCAGCGAAAATCAACCTAAACCCAAAATGGAAAATGCGCATCATTTCAACCAAAAAAGAAAAGAAGACTGGCAGAATAAACAATCAAATCATTATTAATCATCCTCCTCATCCTCATCCTCTTCTTCTAGTTCA